ATGTTTTTTTTTCTTTCTTTTTTAAATACCTGTGTCTATATATTTCCAACACGCACACGCTCTCATGCCGCTCACTTCCTCATACTTCTCGTGACGCGCCGCGAAACTTCCAACTCGTAAAGAGGTGAAACAGCTCCTGACTTGTGATCGGAACAGACACGCGCGTAAACAGCAGGGGGGCGGGAAGAGAGGGAGAGGGGGAAGGAGGAGGAGAAAGGGGAAGAGGAGGGGGGATAGGGGAAAGGAGGAGGAAGAAGAAGAGGAGGGGGGGAAAGGGGGGAGGAGGAAGAGAAAGAGGAAGGAAGAGGGATAGGGGGGAAGAGGGGGAGAGGGGAGGAGGAGGAGGAAGAGGAAGAGGAGAAGAGATAGGGGGGAGGAGGAGGAGAAAGAGGAAGAGGAGAAGGGATAGGGGGAAGGGGGAGGAGAAAGAAGAAGAGGAGGAGGGATAGGGGGAAGGGGGAGGAGGAGGGAGAGTGGGAAGGAGAAGGAGAAAGAGGAAGAGGAGGAGGGATAGGGGAGGAGAGGGAGGAGAAAGAGAGGGAGAAAGGGGAGAGGAAGAGAAACGGGGTTAGAATATAGGGAGAGGGGGTGATAATTGAAGAAAGAGGAAGAGGGAGTTGGAGAAGATAAAGAAGATGAAGAAAGAGAAAGAGGAGGAGAAGGAAAGGGAACAGAAGAAGAAGAGAGGGAGATTGAGAGTAACAAATAGAATAAAGAGTGATAAATAAAGGAAAGAGAGAGCAATAATTAATTAAAGAAAAGAGTTATAGATTCATAAGGGAAACGACGCCTCGCGAAGACCGATCGACGCGCGCCCACCCCACGCCCACCTCTGCCCACCCCACGCCCACCCCACGCCCACCTTCGCCCAGAGGTTGTTTACAATATATTCGAAGGCTGCTTAGCGCCCGGCGATGGTGTGTTGGGCCCCGGAGGTAGGTGGCCAGCCTAGTTTTTGCGCGGGCGGTGAAGGGGATGGGCGTGAGGCCAAGAGAAGCGTTGGGAGGCGCCCTTCCGCCCTACAGGCCTTCTTCCTCCCGCCTGCACGCCCACGCGGCCGCCCACAGAAAGGGGCAAAGATAGGCTGCCTCCGCTGTGGTATGTCAGCCTGTGGGCGCCGCGGCCGGTCCTTCGCCGCGCTAATGGGCTCTCGGTCGCAATTAATGGGGCGTCGGGGGGGGGGGGGGTCGGGCATGGGGGGGTATGGTATTAGTGATGAGGTTATTGGATTAAAAGCGATTCTTGGTGTTGTTGTTAATATTATGAATGCAGACATGATTATCATTTTTATTATTATTGGGGAGATGGGTGCTGGGGGGGGGAGGGGTGATATTTGTGTTTAATTGATTAAGGGCTTGTTTCTGTTGTTATTGTTGTTGTTTAATTCCATAACATGTATTATTCTTTGTTATTATTGTTAATGTCCCCATCATCAACGTCGTGTTTGTTAAGGAAGAGAGAAAAAGAAAAAAAAAGAGGGAGAAGGAAGAAGAGAGGCAGAGAGGAGAGAAAGGAGAAGGAAAGAACGGGAAAAAGAGAAGGAGAGAAGAAAGAGAGAAAAATAGAAAGAAGGAAAGGAAAATGAAAAGAAAAAGAAAAGAAAAGAAATAGACAGAAACAAAAGAAGTAGAAGATCGAGAAAGACACACCACTCGTCCCTGTGTGCGCATGCGTCTACACACGTATATATGCCTCTACACACGTACATGCGCGTCTACACATGTACATGCGCGTCTACACACGTACATGCGCGTCTACACATGTACATGCGCGTCTACACATGTACATGCGCGTCTACACACGTACATGCGCGCTCATACGCACGTGCATATATATTTATGTGAACGTATATCGGTGCAGTTACTCATGACAGCAGGCGTCAGACGCATGACATCGTAAATATAGTCAGTGACGCCCATTCCCGCGTCGCTTTGCCCTTGAGACGCGGGGGGGGGGGGGGGGGGAGAGAAAGGAAAGAGAGGGAGGATAAATGATAATGATAGGGAAGAAGGATAGGGGATAATAAGGATAAAAAAAGAAAAAGATGGGGGGGGAAGGGAGGAAGAGAGAAAGGAAAGGGAAGGAGAATAAATGAAGATGATAGAGAATAAGGATAGGGGGTAATAAAGATAGAAATAAAAGAAAAAAATGTTGGATATAAAGAGGGAATGAGTGATGAAGAAAATATAATATAGAAATGAGAGGAAAGAATGGTAGGGATAATTGGATAAAAATTATAATAAATATGATGCGATACGAACAAGAAAAGGAAGAATACTATAAAAAGTAGGAAATAGAGATGGAAAGGAAGAGCGATAAAAACGATAGGAAATAAGAATAGGAGAGAATGATAATAAATATATTAGGAGGTGGGCATGGAAGAGAACAGTGATAAAGCCGCAGGAAAGAAAGATGGAAAGAAAGAAGGACAGAGATAAATGAAATAAAGATTGGAAAGAAGAGGGATGGAAAATAATAGGATATAAAGATGTAACAGAATGATAATGAAAGAAATACGAAATAAAGACGGGGATAATAATAGAGGTAATTGGGAATAAGGATGGAAGAGAATAATAATGATAATGATACGAAATAAAGATGGGAATAATAAAGATAATTGGGAATAAGGAAGAGAGGGAATAATGATAAAGGTGATAAAGATGAGGGGGAATGATAAATAAAGATAATAGGATGTATGAAAGAATAATAAAAGTAACAGGGAATAAATATGGGAGGATAGAAAAATAAAGATAATAGGAAGTAAAAGTAGGAGGGAAGAAGAAGAATGATAATAACGTGATAGGAAATAAAGACGGGAGGAAAGTAATAAAGAAGAAGGAGAGTAAAGACGGAAGGAGGAATAATGGAAATAATAGGAAGAAAAGATGGGAGAGAATAATAATGGAGATAAAAGCAACGAAAGTGGGAAGGAATAATAATAAAAAAAATAATAAGCAATAAATGGGAAAAAAAACAATTTAAGGTGAGTTGCACGTTGCAAATCCCCGATAATGCAGAATGAGCAATTGCAGAGGGTGCCGGAAAATAGATTAGGGTAAGAAACAGGTGGGTGTGGGGGGGGTGAAGGGGTAGGGGAGGGGGGGAGGGGGAGTGGGAGGACGAGGGGGGGGGAAGGAAATGGGGAGAAAAGGGTAGAGAGGGAATAGAGAGGAAAGGGGATGGGGGGAGGGAGGGGGAGGGGGAGGGGATATAGGGGAGGAGGAGGAGAAGGGAAATTGTAGGGGGGGGGGGGAGGCGAAAGAAGAAGGGGAGGAGGAGCGGGGGAAGGAAGTAGGGGTGAAGAAGAGAAAGGAGGAGGGAGGGGAAAGGGGGAGGGGGGTGGAGTTGGGTGAGTGGGTGAGGAGGGGAGGGGGTTAGGGTTGGGAAAGAGAGTGGGAGGGAAGGGGGGAGAGAAGGGGGTGAGGGGAGGGAGGAGGGAAGGGGGGAGAGAAGGGGGTGAGGGGAGGGAGGAGGGAAGGGGGGAGAGAAGGGGGTGAGGGGAGGGAGGAGGGAAGGGGGAGGGGGGTTGAAGGCGGCAGTGTAGGGAAAGAGAGTGAGAGGGAAGGGGTGAGGGGAGGGAAGGGGTGAGGTGAGGGGGGTAGGGTAGGGAAAGAGGGGGTGAGGGCAGGGTAGGGAAGAGAGGGTGAGGGCAGGGAGGGAGGGGAGGGAGGAGGGAAGGGGGAGCGAGAGGCAGATGACAGTCGCTATGCCGGGAGTGTCGGAGATAGGTCGTTCGCGGGGCCAAGTGTGCGCTCGAGGCTGGCTGAGAATCGGGGGGCCTTTTCAGCTTTTCACATTTCTGTTTATCCTCGTTCTCTCTCTCTATTTTCTCCTATTTTTTGTTTCTTTTCTCTATTTTATTCTTATTCTGTCTGTCCTGGTCTCTCTGACTCTTATTCTCTCTCTCTCTCTCCCACTCTCTTTCCCTCTCCCTCTCCCACTTCCTGCGCGCCCCCCCCCCTCCCTACCGCTCCCTCTGCGTCTACCTCTCCTTCTCCTCTTTAATCTTTTCTGCATTTCCCTTTTATTTTCTGCGTTTCTTCATCCTTTTTCCCGCCCCCTTTGATGCCAGTTCGCGTGGTGACAGAGTGTTCCGAATATGGATAGAAAAAAAGAGAAAGAAATATATATATCAGCGAGATATATCCTTCTGTGCAATTAAATCATCTATTCTTCCCTTATTCTGTTATTTATTCTCATTTATTTATATATTATCGTGTGCTTGTGCATGGAGAGGAGGCGCCTGGTGTGTTTTGCTGGCACTGAGCTTACGTTCTGACACCTTATGACACACGACCAGAAGTGACACCGAGGTCTGTGCTTGCTTCTGTGTCGTGGCACTCTCTTATAACTCTCGGTGCGGTGTCGATAGTGCGAGATAGGGTTATGTGGTGTTAAAAGGATATTTGTGGGTCAGTGCGAAATTTTTTGAGGTTGAAAAATGTTTGAAATAGTGAAAAGGGAGACGAAATTATGAGTTAAGTTAAGGTGGAAACGGAAGGAAATGAAAACGAGAGAATTGAGGCGCTGGAAAGTAAAATGAAACGATCAGCTTTATAGACAGGATTTTTTTTTTTCTTTTTTTCTTTTTTTTTTTTTTGGTGGGAGTCGTTATTTATATTAACTGATTTTTTTTTTTTTATTGTTTATTTATGGAACCGCCAGATACGGAAGGGATTTATTGAGAATACATTTACTGTCTTTTATTAGTAGTATTATCTCAACTTGTGTTTGTGATACGAAGCAGAAATAAGATTTAGAATCCCTCCATAAAAGGGAGAGTGAAAACCGATGGCAAAGAAAGACACTGACATCATTCACCCTTGCAACGCGGGTGACATCACCATCTGAAGAGAAAAGAAAAGGAAAAACATTCTAAGAGTTTCAAGGAAAAAAAAAAGAAAAGAAAAGAAAAGAAAAAACAGCAAAAGGGGAAAAACCCGCGTCTTTGGGAGAGCGATATGGCCGTGTAAGCGCGTTGGGTTCGAGTGCGGTTCGAG